CGTCGGTTGCCGCATTAGCAGCACGTGACTCCCCTCCCCTCCACCTCGGCGCATGCGCAGTGGGAGGCGCTGGTCATCACCGGGAACCACCGTCGTCCTTAGAAAAGCTTTACTGACCGCGGGGGGGACATCCGCGGGGTACAAAAAAAATACCACACGCGCGCTCACACACACACAGAGGCAAAAACAGAACGAAAAGCCCATGCCCGAGAACACAAGGGCAGCTGGCCGGCTCAGGACGCAAGCTGGTCCACCTTCTCCTGCTGCCGGTCAGCCAGGTGCGACTCGATGATCTCAGCGAAGAGGTTCCTCTTCAGCAGGGTGTAAGCCAGAGGCAGCAGCTGGCCCACCGTCTTGTGGGAGTACTGTGGGAAAGAGGGAAAACAGGAGCAGCCCTGGGGGCTCAGTGCCTCTGTGCAGCCTGCGCTCTACCCATGGCCGCATTCAAAGGGCCTTTCTTCAGCCTGCGCCCAGAAAGTGGCGAGCACCCACCTGTGCTACACCGGTAACAGCCACAGCAAGGTCAGGCTGGGTTACCTGAACTGCCACAGTGAGAGAGGGAAACCGGGTTTTAGCAGTGCAAGAGATGATGGCTATTGCTGAGGCACCCAGGCATCCAGCCTGCAGTTTAAGTCCTGTCACGCTCCACAGCTCGAGGGAAGCACAATGGTACTTGGAGTAACCATTTAAGTGCTTCAAATGTATAAAAATCAGCGTATTTAGCATTTGTGATCGTTATTGTTTGTGTAAGGCCATTACACCTCTCAGATGAAAGGGTAAGAGGTTTAAGTGATTTTCTGTGTCTTGGGCTACAGCTAAAGTGTCAGTGTTGGCTCTATGCAGAGCTCCAGTCAGAGCTGGAAAGCAGCTCTCGGGCATCAACAGCCAGGCAAAAACACTGGGACCAGACCCTGGGTTATTTATGTGTGAAGCCATTGTTTTCCTTTTCTGTTTACCAAACTAGAAAATGAAGGTTTTATTTTCAGAAAACAGCTACAAAGTTACAGCTGTTTCAAATTGCTGCCCAAGATAAATATCAGGCCAAGATATAACTATTTATGACACGAGTTTGTCAGTGGTTAATCTCATGATGAGAAGCACGAAGCATGAAAGATGGGGTTTTGTCTCCACCTACTCAGCCAACTGGAAGTAACTATTTCCTCCACTGCCCTTCCAGATGTTGGAAGGAATTAAGGAGCTGAAGGAGCATAGTCACTGAAGGAAAGGTCCTAAATAAGCAGGGTATCAGAGGGAAATACAACACATTCTCAGATGCTGTAGGGAACTTAAGACTTCCTGCCCCACTCTCCTAAGAAACAAATTAGCAATTTAACAGTGTATGGACAGAGCAGTGAGTTTCCTTCATTTCAGTGGCTAAGTGTTTTAACTAGTGTTTAGCACAACTTTTCTAGGCCTACATTTAGTATTGCAAAATGTTTATCTTTCTACGTGATGCTTTGGAGCACCCCTTAGCCAATACTGTTTTTACAAAAAGAAGTATTTCGCATGAGTGTTTCTATGACACTAACATTGCACTGATGTTGAAGCTTCTTTATGTTATTTCCTAGCCATAGATTTATCACAGACACAATCCTTTTCATCAACGAGACAGTGGCTAATACAGAACAAAGTGTTAAGCAGAATCTTTACATGTGATTAAGCACTAGTAAGTCAATCAGCTTATTTATGATACTTGTTAACACAGAACCAGAAAGAGACTCCTTGTGGGAGATATCTTATGCAGCCATACAGGCAGTGCAGGCAAGCAACTGACCTAGGTTCAAATTTTTTCAGCTGGATTTACTACAAACATCAGTGTGTTTCTTGATGCAGCTGAACATGAGTGCTTGCACCCATACGAGCAGCTGGGGACAGGGGGCTACAGCTATTCGGTATTTCTGGATCAGATGGCTGATCATTTTTAGGCATCTAATAACAGCTCTGGATTGCAGGACTGCTTTCATGCAAGCAATTTTAAATTCAGCATGGAATGGTGTCATTAAGTTTGACTTTTTAACAGTCTTCGCAAACTAAGAATATTCTTGTAGACTTTCACGATTCCTAGGGACGATGATGGGATAGGGTTTGGAATAAAGATATACGACAGAACTACTCCTGGTCCGCGCATAAAGCAATGCAAAATTTTGTGAAGTGTAATTGTTGTGGTACTCACATGTGATCCATAGCAAAACAGGTCCATACCCAGTTCATACCCCATTCCATAGTCACATTCATCGTTAGCAAACTGAACAAAGGTCAGCATTTCTTGAATGGGTGCAAAGGCCTTCAGTCTCTCATCATCAGTAGGAGCATCAACAATGGCCTTACAAATTTTTTTAAGATTAGCTGCAAAAAAACAAAGCAGAAATATTTAGATGTCTAAGTAAAGAAATTTAATATTGCACACAAGTAGTCTGTGGCAAAAACATACCTGTGTGTCATGCTTACATGAAGGCTAAGTGGGCACACCCTGAGCTGCTGGTGGAAAAAGCTTCCCCCTCTCCTTTGCTGCTCATACTTGCCCCATGCCCATCCGTCTCAGTTCCCCAGAGACAAGCATTTGTGTGGTGAACTTGCACCATCAAGGAACTGATGCTTAGAACACCTCCAGGAGAAGAGAAAGGAACAAGGAATAAACCCACAAATGCCTGAGCATAGATCAGTTTTTTGGATCTACTTCCTGCATGGCTGTGATAAGAGAGAAGGTCATCTAAACTACTACTTCAGGAATTACTTCAGATTTAGCATGTTCCATTGATTCTCATCTGGTTCATTTAAAGAAAATACTTGGAGCTCAAGTGTGATGGTTAAGACTTCTGCCATTGACTCCCATTGCTCATATTCTTCAAGTAGGAAATATGAATGCAGTTTGGTTTTTGCAGACTGTGTGACTGAAGGTTGTTTACTTAAATAAAACAGAAGAATATAGTAAAACAAGATTATTTACCGTTTGTTTCAGGAAGTTCTCTGTATCCAACATCGTTTTTATCTACAGGAACAACTAGACCTGCTCCATGAAATGCTTTGGTCACCACCTAAATAAAGGGAGACAGGAAATTGAATATAGCACTGTTAAGTCAATACTGTGACATAAAATCACTCACCTCACTACACCTAACTGCTGGTGGTCAAACCTAATATAGTGTCCCAGGGCTCCAGGGCGTCAACTTAGTTTCAAATTATAAAGCAGTTACTTTCAAGTATTGAAGTTTAAAATAACTACAAACTCCGTTTTAGTCAAATTCTGAAATCCAAGAATCCTTCTAGTCACTTGTGTAGCACGGTTCTACATTTGTTTAGTCACCCCCTAGCATATTTCTGATAGGTATGCAAAAAACCTCTATTACTAATCCATATCATCCTTAATGTTCCTGTTTCCAATAAATCCAGCCCAACTGTTTGCGCCAATCTTCACCTTGAAGCAGGTTTCTCCATGCTCCCCATTTGTTTTAGTTTTTGGACTATTTCCCTTCTCTTTCCGGCCCCCCCCCCCTTAATTGAATAACAAGCCATAGTTTACAAGAGTAAAGTGTTTTTATTTAATCCTGTTACTTGGAACACATTTGTATTAATCTTCCCTCTCCTGAATTTTTAAAGAAAGTGCTGATTAACTTTGGAAATTCCTAAATGAAGCATCTTTACTGACTAGAAGGAGGAAAAAGAAAAAAAATAAAATAAACGGGCAAGTAAATGAAAAAAATTTAACAGAACTTAGTTCTCTCCAGTGGATCAGGAAAGTCATACTTTCTTATCTCTCTGCTTCATCTTCATGGTTTTTTGTTCCAGAGAATAACCCAGTTCTTTTGCTGTTCTTGTTAGTTTTTCATCTATGTCTTTCAAAATAGCACTTTTCTTTTTATCGGTCACTTCCTTAAGTTTTTTTGACAAAAATAATCTGCAAACAGAAAAAACATGTCTTAAGAGAGCTTAACAGGAAACAAACCAGCGAATGGCCTTCTAATCACTAAGTCCCCAAATCTTATAACAAAGATTAGCAGTCATGGGTTTATTTATACACGTAACTTGATAATGCAAGCTTCTTCACAACAAGAAGGAAAAAAAAAAGGTCCGGCACAGACAGTACTCTGGTGTTTCCTATCTGTATTTGCATTACAATGTAGTTTGTGCAATCTGCAGGTGCTGAAGATTCTCACGGACTCGGTAGCTGTTCATCTTTCTTATGGATTCAGTTTGCTGCTTCAGTGCCAGATTTACTATTTGTCACCCAAGTCAGGCACATAAATACATATTTATGAGTTTCATCATGGTGCTTTCAAAACAGATGTCCTCGTTTAACTCTGCGCTACACAAGGGTTCTTTTGCAGAAGCTTTTCTTCAGTATGCTTTCACTAACTGACACGCGTCTGTCCTCCAGAGCCTTCTATTTTTAACTGGCAGGTCATGAAATATGTTGTTTACATTCACAATGCAGGACCATGTAAAGCTTCATGAATCACACCAAATTACATATCCATATAAATGTTATCCTGTCTCAGGTCAGAAATGGTACTTCTTGTAGTTATTTATTACATGCAAAAATAATGTATTTTTTATGTAGGCAAGAACAAGAGCTAGATGCTACTCATTTAGTATGATATTCATATTTCCTTCATCTCTGTTTGAGATGACCTTTCTTTACTTATGAAGTATTTTAACACATCCAGTGGGCATTTTTTTTTTTTGCTGTAGAGCCTATCCCTTCCAATATATTTAAAGAATGAGATAATTTACACTTATCTATTTTACTTGTAAAAGGAAAATACTGTCAAGAAGCCTATTAAGGCTTTTGAGAGTACCTTAAAACTTGCTACCAGGAGCAGAAAATAAGCAAGTGTTTCTCAAGAAAGACCGATGTAGTAAATTAGCTACATTATTATACATTGCATATCCCAATTAATAGTTTCTCTTCTACTCTTAATAAAGAAAAGGATGAACCTTACTTGACTGCAGCAAAGACATTATCACCAACTTGTGAGATCACACAGCCCTTCTTAGCTTCATTTGCACCAACCCACACTGGAAGCTCATCTGGCACATCCCTGTTTTTATGAAAAAGTACACACAAATAGTCAAGCTATGTCCATTTCTCCTATTTCAAAGTAAAATTAATTTTCCTCCTTACCATGCTGCCATTTCCTTCAGACACTTAACAAAAAACACCCTTAGATCTAAAGCTCTAATATCTTACAGCATGGCTTTGAAAGGAGCTTGTATCAATACATGCAGAGAGAATACAGGTTCCCTTTATTTCATAAGACTTGACTTGTTCTTCTAGAGTATCATGGCAAAAGTTTAATAAGTGAAGGTGCTCTGGAGGGTTGGGGGCGTAGTTTAGTAAATATTTACATCTAGTCTTCAACTCCAGTATCTTTGATCTCTCTTAATATAAGATACCAACCCACGTTAATATTCTATTACAGAAGGGAAAGATTCTTGTTTGGTGATAGCATGCATTCTCAAATCCCATCTCGTGGAAAACAGAGGAGAAAAAGCTATACGTAATTTTAGTCCAGCAAGGGCACATATTAAATAAAATACCTGAAATATCCCATGTGATACTGTGTTTTGCTATCCCCGACAAGTATCGTCTGGAATTCTGGGGGATCATAGAAGAATCTCCAATGAAGATTGAAGTCCAGATCTGTTGATTTTGCTGTTTTGTGTTTTCCAGCAAGAATATCATATGGTCCAACCAGTGTAAGCCCAACACTTGACACAAGTGCATCTGAAAAATAATGCATGAACTCGTTTACTTTCTGGTGGGTACATATCTAAACTAAGAAGTTCCTGTGTCACTCAGGTATCAAAAGCTTCCCACTAGACAAGGAAAGCTGAGACATTCTTTTATTCAGATAGCTTTCATTCAAGAGTTAGGTTATTACACTGCGCCTAAGAAGTAGTGGCCAACAGTTCAATGTCCAGATGGAGACTGGTGATGAGCGCTGTCCCTCAGGGATCCGTATTGGGACCAGGACACCTTCAACAATGACACAGGATCAAATGCACCCTCAGCAAGTTTGCAGATGACACCAAGCTGAGTGGTGCAGTTGACACGCCTGAGGGATGGGATGCCATCCAGAGGGACCTGGACAAGCTCAAGGAGTGGGCCCATGTGAACCTTATGAGGTTCACCTGGGTTAGGGCAACCCCCAGTATCAATACAGGCTGGGGGATGCAGGGATTGAGAGCAGCCCTGCCAAGAAGGACTTGGGGGTACTGGTGGGTGAAAAGCTGATCATGAGTCAGCAAGCAATGTGCACTCGCAGCCCAGAAGGCCAACCGTATCCTGGGCTGCATCAAAGAAGCGTGACCAGCAAGTCGAGGGAGGGGATTCTGCCCCTTTACTCCTCTCTGGTGAGATCCCACTCGGAGTCCTGCACCCAGCTCTGGAGCCCTCAGCACAGGAAAGAGACATGGACTTGCTGGAACAGGTCCAGAGGAGGGCCACAAAAATGATCAGAAGGATGGAACACCTCTCCTGTGAGGACAGGCAGAGAGAGGTGGGGTTGTTCAGCCCGGAGAAGAGAAGGCTCCAGGGAGACCTTACTGCAGCCTTCCAGTACTTACAGGGGCTTCTAAAAGATGGGGACAGACTTTTTAGCAGGGCCTGTTGCCATAGGTCAAGGGGTAATGGTTTTAAACTAGAAAAGGGCAGATTTAGGTTAGATCTAAGGAAGAAATTTTTCACAGAGGGTGGTGAAACACTGGCACAGGCTGCCCAGACAGGCGGTAGATGCCCCATCCCTAGAGACATTCAAGGTCAGGTTGGACGGGGCTCTGAGCAACCTGATGTAGTTGAAGATGTCCCTGCTCATGGCAGGGGGGTTGAACTAGATGACCTTTAAAGATCCCTTCCGACCAAAAGTATTCTATGATTCTATGATGCCACGTGTTAGATGTAGTAAGTTTGGGGAAGCTGAAACCTGGATTGATACAAGGAAAGTTCAGTTCCATACTATACACTTCAAACGTATGTGCAAGAAAGGCAAATTTGGACAACAGTTAGTCCCTTTGTATTACACGATTTCAGTAATTATATTTTCTAAAGCTTGAACTGTACTGACATATTTGTGATTATCTCCAGTGTTCTTGTTTACACTCATGTAAGTATCCTGCATCTTAACCGGACTGAAGGAGCATTAGAATGCATCTGACCACCTCCACTTTGCCTGCCTTCAGGCTGGTTTTGAGAGTGAAAGTTAGAAAAGGAAAAAAAAGAATTAAAAACCCACCACTTGGTTTCTCAGGATCTAGTTCCTCACAAAACTTCCAAAACTGATAGAAGTCTTCAGGCAGTCTAAGCCGATAGCATGTTTCTGCTTCTTGACAAAGACTATCAGGGCTATCTGCCTGATTTGACCTTCTCTTCTTGACATCTCCATTTTTTTCACACTGTGGATAAAAAAACCCCACCAAAACAAAGTTCATTTAATTGCTTCCTGTCAGTTCTACTAAAGGATTTTACAAAGCTTCTGTTTTAATGGAGGAACAATGATCAAAACCATTAAGTCACGCTTGTTACTTAAACCAGCATACCAATTAGAACATCTATTTTGGACAGAAACCCTTAGAAGTGCCTTATCCGAGACATGTGCTAAACCTGTATGAAATAGCAAAGTCCTACTTTGATATTAATGGGTCAATCTAACCAACAGAAGCACACTTACTAGCTCATCAAGGAAATGACTAAGCAATCCCAAAGTTTAATCCAAGTTCTACATTATTTTAAAATGACCACTTCCAACCACACAGCAGCCTACGTCCAAGCCACTCGTGTGTTTTACAGACACTTGGAAGCAGGGATACTATTTTGTCATGTCTGGCTAAATGACCCAACAAAAATCCTGCAAGTCCTTACTATCTGAACTACTCCACTACTCAACATCTGAACTGGTCCAGTTTACAGCGCAGCATTTTAGAAGTAGCTTAAAGTTTCAGTTGTTTTAAAACAAGCCGCATAACACGAACTGAAACACGCTAGAAAATGATCCATTCAAGCACGCACACCACTGAAGCAGTAACCTCAGCTACCTCGTTCCCACATAAGCCTCCAAGTATTGGTAGAAATCGTTACACCCCTATTTTGAAAGAATAGTAATAATAATTACAAAAAAGCAAGGTTTCTTTTCTCTTGTTAGGGCAGTACGAGGAGGCAAATATTCCAGGCCTTAAGCGGGCCGCCATCAGGTACCCGTTCCGAGCAGGAGGCAGCCCGGGCGGCTGCGGTTCACAGCACACCTGAAAGGCGGCGGTCACTCGGCAGAAGCGCGGCTACCGGGGAGAGGCTCCCGCGTCGCAGAAGAGGGGCCCTGGGGTTTTCCTCAAAGTAAATCAGAACGAGGGGCAAAGGAGGCAGAGGCCCGGCACTACGACAAGGTATCCGCGCCAATTCAGGCCTACGGACCCCGGTCCGGGGGTGCCTCAG